GAGACTGTAGGTTTTCTAGTCAGAGATGGGATCTGTGGGGCCTTGGGGCAAGTGGCTTTACCTCCCTGGCTCTCCCGTCTCCCCACCTGTGAAATGAAATCACTGGTCCAATACTGCATTGGTATGAAAAGGACCTGCCAGACATGCATTCTGTGGAATATTTCTACTATGATTTCCTTTATTAGTTAGTAGTCCAAAAGCCTCTTGTGAAAGAAAGTTTGCACAAATTAAGGAAGGGCAAGAAGAAAGACTACTCTCAGGATCTCAAATGGTGTTGGTTTTTCTTCATTGAAGTTGCTAAGAATTAGTCAGTCAGTGCCTAGAGCAAAAACCCTATTTGAATCCAGAAATTCTAATTCTATCCAGGTTTGTGACACGTGGCTGACAGCTGGGTACAGTGCAAAGATCACTGGATTTAGAAATAAGTCCTTCTTTCTGCCACGTACTAGCCTCATCCACACTTGCAGGCCATTTAATTCTCTGCACCTTGATTTCCTGACCTGTCAAATGGGGCAGATAATTATGGCCTTATTTCCCATGATCAAAATAAAATAATGAGGCTTCAGTGAAGTCATTTGCTATATTGGGTCTAATCCCTTTGTAATGGGATTGTTCTTAGCAGGGCATGTGGATGAAGAGAAAGTGCTGAGGACTCAGGCAAGGTGGGCTGTGATCTACCCTGAGAACAGAAGAAGAAAAAAAAGAGAAATAGTTGGCAGAGAAATGGTGAGAAGGGCCTCAAAGCAAAGGTGCCTCGTTTGAATTTGAGCATATTTTTGAGGAAGGGGGTCAAAATAGAAATGCAAAAGTATTCGGGCCTCCTCGAGGCCCGCAGCTGTGAGTGGGGAGGAGTTGGCTGGGGTGGGCTGTTCTGGGGTACCCCCAGCTGATGCAGTGTGAGATGAAGGGAGGCTGTGTGCACGTGGCTGCAGGGCAGCAGAAGGGAAATGAGGGAGGCCAGTGTGGTGGGCAAGTTGGGGAGCACACTGACTAACACTTTGGTTTCCAGATTCTCAGCCTGGGAGTAGCGGAGAGGGGAGGAATCAGTCCCTGCTGTCGCTCACGTGGGGCACTGGGCAGCCAATGCTGGTTTCACTGGCTTCCCTTTTAGTGCCTCTTGTGCCTTTTGTTTTGCTTTTCTAGCTGCAGAGATCGCAAAGCCACCTGGTCAGAAAATGATGAAATCCCGTGAGGAGCCTGGGACCTGTGCTTCTCACTCCTGGTCTCCTGCTCCTCCTCCTGTCTGCTTCAAAGCTCGGAGTGGGTCAGAGGAAAGGGGAGAGGAAGAGAAGAGGTACTTTTCCCCAAGAAGGAGGCAGATGGGGAGCAAGCCCTCAAAACAACTTAGGGTGGGACCTCAAGGCCCCCCGAACAAACTCGAACAAGTCCCAGAAGTCCTCTCTGCTGCAACAAGTAATGAGATCTATAAAATTTTAAGAATCAGTCATAAAATCTGGGATCTCAATATCAGAAGACTTCTTTCTAATCTAAGCATGGGTAATGAAACTTGAACTCTCTGATAAAGGAAAGCTTACTCACTAATGACTTCATTACCAAAAGAACTCTATACAATCCATAGTCCCTCAAGGACAAAAAGGAAAAGGGAATAAGAAGAAGGAAAAGGGAATAAGAAGAAGAAAAAGACATTTCTCTTGTTTCTCTTTCAAGAACCAGAGGACTTTTGTTACTCTCTCAATGGGTGCTATCTTGTACAAGCTTAGTAAGGCAAAGGGCTCCTTTTCTTCAGCCCTTTAAGCGGCATTCTGTTGTTATTCTAGTCACCAGCTCTCAACATTCTGCCCCCATGCTTAGTCACAGCCACCACACAAGTCACCTGGGACGAGGGCTGGTCTGCTCTGAAGGACAGAATTCCAACTAAGACAAACTAGGTGGGCGTTTTGAAATGGTTCTACCATTCCTTTGGAAATGCAGACAACTGACGTCATTCATGTCAGGGATCCAGAAAAGAGCAGAGGATAAGGGTGTGACTTCCCTTTTACTCTTGTCTTCCATTTAGGAAGACTGTCAACTCAGACGTATTTGGAACATTTCACCTTTCTCCCCTAACGGGTCCCAAGAGAGCAGCACACTTGTGGATTTCAAAACAACCTCCATCCCATCCTGCTGTCGGGGCTGCTGAGCTCTTACAAAAAGAGCCAGAATATTTCTCGTTCATAAGGAGCCCTAGGGGTGCAGTGTGGTACAGTACACCACTGGGCTGCAAACCAAAAGATGAAGGTTCAAATCCCATGAGTCACTCTGAGGGAGAAAGATGAAGTTACCGCTCTTCCTTTAATGATTTACGGTCTCTGCGAATTGAAATCACTGCCTTGGGGCCCAAGGGAGAGATCATTAAGAAGCTGTTGGGCTCATATTTTACACAAAAAGCCAGCATATCTGTAATTCGTATATTCTCACCTCTGATTAGTATAAGTTTTCCTCTTGAACAATCACCAATAATGTATGCACATCAGGAGATATCAGGTACAGGGCAGCTTCTAAACCCATTGGCTGCATTTTAACAAGGTTTCCTGAATACTGGGGTGCTAAGAAGGAACTCCAAAATGCTAAAGAGCAAGGAAGTAAGTTTCAAGAGTACGGTGTACCTGACCCAAGCCATGATATTTTCAATTGCTTCATATGCATTGAAAGTTGGACAATTAATGAGGAAGACTAGAGTTAAAACAGTGCCTTTGAGTTGTGATGGTGGCAGTGTCGACTCTGCTGCCTTGGCTGTCTCCTAGAGGAGGGGATGGTAGGACTCTGTCTCCTGTCATTTGGGGATTGTTGTTGGGAGGAGCAGTCGTTGAGAAGGTGAAGGTCAGCTAAAGGGAAGAGTACTGTCAAGCAAATGGATGACACAGTAACACAACAGTGGGCTCGAGACATGGCAAGGTTTCCCTCTGCTGGAGGACACAGAATTACTGTGATTGGGAGCTGACTGGACAGTATCTAACAACAACAACTAACAAAACAAGGCACTTAAGGAGCCTGGAGAGTGCACTGGTGTACGACGACTAACTAGGCAATAGGTTGGTAGTTCGAGTCCACCAGGAGTGCTGCAGGAGAAAGCTCAGACAGCCTGCTTCTCAAAGATCTGCAGCCCTGGACACCTTGTGGGACAATTCTACTCCATCCTATAGGGGCACTAGGATCCAGAAGCCAGTAGAGAGCTGCGAGTTTATTAAGATTTTTTTTTTTT